TGGAATATCTAAAAAGGCGCTTCACATTGAGAAGGAAGACGTACCCCACAGCAGCATCTGATCTTTTATTCATAACATATCATTGTGCGTCTGCCTCTCTACTCTGATTCATCAGCACATTATGATATTGTTTTGTTTGTGTTGCTCCTGCTGTGAGAAGGTCATAAAACCATTTTTGTTTTAAATCACTAATCAGGTCAGCGATCCCTTTATAAACATGTGCGCATGTACAGTACTGTGGCTGTCTGTGTGAGGGAGAAAATATGAAATATTATCATCAGCAACAGATAATAATAATAATAATAAATGATATTTATATAGCGCTTTTCTGGGACTCAAAGACGCTTTACAGTGTGAGGGAGGGTAGACAAACAAGGACAGGCAAAAACAAACTAAATCTACTGAGTCATTCCCCTGCTCGCTTTCTTCAACTCTCTACGTAGAGTTCAATATTCACTGCATTATGGAGAAAACGGTTTTAACGGCTAAATCTTTTGTTGTAAAAACTTAACGGCGCAGCTGAGCCCCGAGTTAAACTGCTCAATTTAACATTTATAGAGAAAGAGCGTGGTGATTAATACTGCACTTAGCCCTTTAATATTCCCTCCATGTTAGCACTCATGCTGCTGTGTTAGGATGTATAGGTCAGTGGTGGAGGAGATGCTTTTGTTACACTCCACAAGTGAGCAGACAAGCTTTACTGACAACACTACTTCACCCTAGGAAATACCACACCGGCTCTTAAACGATAGATCTCTGTGTACGGGCTCTAACGCCAGCAGTAAACAGCAACCAGTTCGAACATGGCTTGTCAAAAACAGAGCTACAAGAAAGCGCTCATATTCTCACTGCGTCAAACGATCCATTGTTTTCAAAAGAAATATTGATTTTAGCTACTCCAAAAATTAAGAACAATTTGAAGGAGGTACGACCGATTCAAAAACTCATTTATTAGGGATGTTTTAAAGGCTTAACATAGCTATAGAAGTGACATTTAAAGACTCAATAGCAAGCTAAAGGGACCTGAAACTTAGCTGGGTTTCCTGTAAAACTGCAAGATCTGAAAGAGAAGGCCTTACAAGCTTTGACTTGTTGCTCATGCAGCCTGTCTGGAGAAAGAAAACACAGCTTAATGTGTGTGTGAGAATTAATTGGTATCAACCACAGATACAGTGCATAACAGCTGTGCCTCACTTATAGCAGATACAGTATGCACCTTGCGACCCTAAGTTACTGTTGCAGTCATTGATGATGTTTAATGGACAATTACAATGTTTACAGTTAAGCTTCTTGCACAGGCACATTTTTATATGAATGAATTCTTAAGAAAAAAGTGCTCCTTCTATATACTGGCAATATAGAGTATATATATATATATAGCAATCTTCTTGGCAAGTGCCAAGAAGATTGCAGCTGTAACAACCCAGAGCAAAAGCGAGAGACATTTAGAGCCAACTAAGTGACATCCTATGGGAGTCCGCTCACCAGGAGGTAGACGCCGGTTAAAAATGTGTCTGAACGGGGGTCACGCTGAGTCTTCCCTTCCTCGAACACCGCCATCAGATAATCTGTTTTAAGTCTATATTTGCCTCTTTCGTCAGTATCGTATTAAACACTCACTGTGGGAACTTTTTGGTGAAACAGGATGATTTCAGTCCTGTGAAATCCACTGCAGCGCTTTCATTATGTTTTTACTGCAATACTGCATGTTATGTCTTCATTGGACAAGAATCAGAAATAAGTTAAATTGGTAATAGATACATTTTTAGCTTTGAAGCCATCTGGTTGCCTTGGAACAAACAATTCTGTTCAATAATAAACAGATACAATGCATAAAGAAAGGATTATTTGCAACAATATAAAGTAGATATACCTTGCTCAAGACATTTAAATGTTTTGTATTTTAGGCACGCAGCAAGTGATCTCATCATAACTCAAGTTCTTATATCACAATCCTTACAAGCGGCAGGGGAACATAGTAAAGGTCAGAGCCATGGCGTCCTCAGAATATTTCTGTGACTGTAAAACCAAGTTAGAGGCAAACTTGGTGAAAATAAATAGAAGTTAATGGGAAAAAAAGTTTAAGTGTGCAGAGAAAAATTAAAAATACTTTCAAGAACTCTGTTATCAGCTGGTGACACTTTTGTGTAGACAACAACAACAACAACAACAACAACAACAACAACCTAATAATAACACGTTGTGGGAGACATACAGTACTTGGTTCCATAAACAACATGCAGGAAAAACTCATTATATTTCTTGATTTTCATCTTGATTGACAGGCCCAGAACCAAGATAGTAGCTGAAGTCTGATGTGATGAAGCAAGTCAGAGTTGTAAAATACAGCAACAAAAACCGTGCAAAATCCATATTTAAGCAAACTCCAAAAATATGCTATATGGGATGCTCTCCTTATCTGCTATAATTTGATAGGGAAAAAAGAAAAAGGTGTCTTCCTTGATATCTCATTCTGCTTGAATGGTGCTGTTGGAGCAGAAAGCATGAAGAAATGGAAAGGATGAAGGAGGGAGCGCTCTCCCTCTTTCTTCTAAACCCACAGGGTCCCTCCATTCTGCCGCTGATGGCCTGTAATTGGTGTTTAGCGCTGTTGTGGAGAGGCCTCAGCTGCGGGAGGCTCCTCTGGCTGCCTTTCAACATGTCACTGTTTTCTGTGTCCTATTGTGGCTTGTTCCCTTTTCTCTAGAGAGGCAACGTGTACGATGGCATTTGAGGCTTTTCTCCCAGCAGGGAAAAAAAAAAAAAAAAAACTACCAAAGAATGTGCTCTATCGTACTTTCAAGGTGTGGATGGGTAGATGCAAGGTGCAATATTAAAATAACATAAAACATAGTTCCACTTAGTTCAACCTTGACCAACTGCAATAACAATGATGCTTATTGATACATTAATAATAATAAAGATGATTCGGAAATGGGTAATTCCGCATATTGAGTACTTTTACATTTGATAATATAAGTACATTTGGATCCTTATAGTTACGTGTTGTACTCAAAGGATTTAAAAACAGAATTCAGGGAATATCTTTGATTAAACGATTGATTCCACACAGCTCTCAACATGTGATGCCTGAGCAGGTGGCTAGCAAATCACGTTGCTAACAGCAAAAACAGCACAAAAAAAGGTCCATAAGCAATGTTTCCATTGTTTGCAGTTAAGCTGTGCAACAATGTTACGCTATGGCAACAATGCTGTGGTATCAGGACAGCATTATCAGCAATAACCACAGTCAAAGCACATTGCAGAATGGCAGCCACTAGCCTTTCACAGACGCTAACAAGCGTACGTGCTAACAAACGTACGTGCTAACAAGCGTACGTGCTAACAAGCGTATGTTCTAACAAGCGTTTGGACCAGCAAATGAACAAAGAAGCAGGTATTTTAACACACACACACACACACACGCACGCACGCACGCACGCACACACACACACACACACACACACACACACACACACACACACACACACACACAGAGAGAGAGACGGGCACACACACAAATCTGATAAAGCCGGTCACAGAGAGATAGTGTGACTTCATTCACTCCTAGAAATGTAAGGTGTAGCAATATAAACTGGTGGGCATAGAGGCAGATAATGAAACACATCTTGTAAGACCCCCTACTTTATTGATGTGTAAGACTAAATTGCTACAGTATCCCTTTAATACTATAATTGTACTATTGCCATATGCAGTATTGAGGTTGCATTTCTTTAATGTTAAAATGATTTTATTGGAGAAAGTGTTGTAAATGTGAGAAGTGACAGAGAGACAATGTGACCTATTTTGTAATGACTTCAAATTATGCGGTGATAACCATTTTTTACAGTTCTACTCAAGCAGTAGATAATAGAATTATCGTTAAGTCTTAATGCCACGGAAGAAGCCACAAGCAGTTTCTTTTTTACATAAATCAGCCTTGTTCAGCTCCCAGATGTTCTGAAGCAGACTATATTTCTGCAGTATTTCCTCATGTCGGAGCCGTGACTCATAGAGCTCACTGAGGGCAGCAGCTTGCAGTCAGAGGCGCCCCATAGGTGGCACTGTTGGTTCTCATGATGGACCCATGGCACAACAGGTTGCACAGCTCCTCTTCTCTGATCCCTGGACTGGACACAAATGATCCCTCCAGGTTATGGGAGTGGTAAAATAAAAATGTAATTTGCGCTGTTTTGTAAATAACCACTTAAAACTGAGAAGGGTGCCAGTTAATCATGAAACTTCCTCATGTCACAAAATTCAGATTGCATATTGTACCCTACTGTGCATGTAACAGGAAGCTCCATTTATCAAAATTGCCTTTATGTTTAGTCTATACTAAAAATAATGCAGTTTAAATTCATACTGTATGACTTTACCTACTAAAGATGCACACCTGCAGTGTTTAAATTACGAAATATCTATGTGTAGACTAGAGTAACCAAACCAAGTCCAACCAAAAATATATTTGCACATGCGGTGTACATCCCCTTTCTAATTTCCAATCAACTTTTTTTTCCTAAAATGTTTGAGACTTGGACACAATTTGCAATCCCCATGTGATATCGCCGGGACTTCGGTGGCACAATACTTGCTGACGTGACGCCCGCAGACCCTCTAATTTGCCAATCCAGCCCGGTGTGCGCCCCCCCGCCCCTCTTCTTCACACCCCCCCCCACCCCCAGTTTCTGCACCAGACCTCTCCGTGTCCACAGTCACAGGGCGCAGAGCGGCAACAGATCCTGGAACAGCTTCACCACACCGCCAGTGAATTGCGAGGAAAGTTGGGGGGACTATTTTGTCAGATATCGGATGTGCTTACATGTCAGTTGCCAGATGATTTGGATCGATGTCAATCCAGCACTCTATGAAAAAGAAGAAGAAGAAAACCACAAGCCGCGCGTGTCATGAGAGCTCTTGGGAAAACTGTGATTTTAGAGGACTTTTTTTGCTCTTATCGTTGATGAAATGATTGCAGCCTTATAAGAAGAGACGGGTGTGTTTTTAATGTCAGTATTGGATGAGACAGCGGCGCCGTATCCTGTGCAATAAGAGAAATGGTAAGAAAACGCCATCAATGTAACTCTTATTTCCATTTAAAGATGTTAATGTTGCTTTTTGTAGCTTAGAACCAGTGTGCAAAAGCCGAGATACAGAGGCACGCATTATATGTTCACGTGTTTTTTTAAATGTTAAACATCCTGGGTGCTAGGGTGAGACTGGTGACAGACGGTTTGTTTTACGCACCCGAAGGCACCTGTTTTATCCTCACAAATTAACAGTTCAATCATGCACAGTGCGAAAAATGCAAGAAAGAGCCATGTGATAAGTTGATTTAGTATGTGAAAATCTATATTAATGTGTTTTTAGTGGAAGATATTGACCGTGCGTTCGTTTCTGTGATGACAGGTGGTGTCGCACGGAATACAGCTGTTTTTTTTTTAAATGGAGAACTGCTCACAGAGGATAAATTACGTGCAAAGTTGTGCGGCTTTCTGCTGAAGGAGTTATCCAGCGGCATCTCCCCCCTCCCTCGAATAAACATGGGTCCAAGGCGAGACATGGGACTGTTTCTGTGCGTGGGAATCACCGCGCTCCTCTTCCTTTGCACAGGTAAGACCCCAGAGAAACCTTAGCTAGTGTCAACGAGCGCTTCTGTTCATACAGCCCGAACATGAATTATGGAAATTAGGGGTAATGGTCACATAATAAGAGCCACTGTAAAGGCATCGACCTTTTATAGAGTGATTTTATTCAGTGTGGAATATTTTATGAAATGCAAATGATTTCTTTTTTTGCCATGAGGATATATATGATTTATGAGACATATAATTAGCTGTAAGCTGCTGTGGCAGAATACAAAATGACTTGTAATATTAACATGAATGAACTGTGACAGTTGCCTGCGGAGTGTGTGGATTTTGGGGTGTTGTAGCATGCACTTTAATGAGATGCAGTGTGTGTGTGTGTGTGTGTGTGTGTGTGTGTGTGTGTGTGTGTGTGTGTGTGAGAGAGAGAGAGAGAGAGAGAGAGAGAGAGAGAGAGAGAGAGAGAGAGAGAGAGAGAGAGAGAGAGTATGACACTGCGGAGCACCAGAAACAACAACAGGCTGCAAACACAACTCAGAAAAATATTGCATTTTTTTTGCAAGTTTTAGCAGTGCTGTACTTCGAAGAAAAACGTGTGTGTGGGTGAATTCTATGTATATTTGCGTTTTTGAGTGTGTGCACCCATATGTATACATTCTGGGGTGTTTCTGTGTAAATATTTGCCTCTGAGAGTGGATGTCATGTTTGGGTGTTATGTATGATTTTGCAAATTGCGTGGGCTTGCGCAGACCTGCAATCACAGAAAAATGCATATGAAAAATAGGTGTTTATCCCTTGCTGTTTACCTGCCAATCAAAAGCAATTGCAAAACATAATTTCACTATACTGTGTGCATTTAGTGTAAACTATTTATTTATTTGTGTAATTTGTCCATTCTTCCATTTGTCTATGGTCCCATATCTTTTTAAAATGCCATCGTTGAGATCTGGGAGATTTAGGCAGCCTCTCTAAACCATGGTCCATTAGCATCAATAGCAGTCAGATTAAATGACGGATTGAAAACAAACATTTCAGCCATATTATCTAAAGCTTTGTGGTTGGGGAATCAAAATATATGCTCATGGAACAAATAAACTGTTCCTTTATAATAACTAGGAGAAAAGCCACATTCAAGATTTTTTGCAGTTAACCTGACAACCTTTGGGTGACAAGACTGTGTTCAATACACCAAGCCATGGAATGGTCCCACACATAACCCCCCATTGAGGCTGGCCAAGTGAAGTCAATTTTATTTTTACAGGCCAATATCACAAATCACCCATTACCTTTAGGGGGTTGACAATCTGTACAGCAATCAACCCCCTTTGTTCTTTTATGCCCCTTTCACACCAACGCGGTTCCAGGGCCAGTTCGGAGCTAGAGCCTGATAAGCACCGTTTTTTCCCGTTCACACCACAACAGAGCCGGCTCTTTTCCCCGAAAACCGGTTCTTACCAAGTTCCAAAGAATTGTCTGTCTAGAAGCAAGAACCGCTTACGTCGGAGTCGGGGGCAGGGGCAGGGGCGGGATCAACCTGAGCAACAGTTTATGGCGAGTAGCCTACGGCAAATAAAAGTTGTAACAAGCAGTAGTGCTGAGCAAAGTGACTAGAAAGCAACCACACACTTTATAAAGTCAGGCAACACTAACCAGGCTTCGTGTGATTCCGTTTATTTGTACCTTGCTTTGACCATCCGTTCACTGTTATTGATCATTATGGAGAGCAGGCAGACGT